GCGCGCGCGCGCGCGCGCGCGCGCGTGTGTGTGTGTGTGTGTGTGTGTGTGTGTGTATTCAATAAATAAAATTTGTCGGTTAATCAGAGAGATAATTGGGAATTGGGCTTTCACAAAAACAGAAAAAAGAAAAAATAATTTTATGTTTATCACAACAGATCTAATAATTTGTAATAATTTGATAAAAGCGTGTTAGATACATTTGTTATAGTGAAAATAATTTTTGATAAAAATGATGGCATCATTAAAAGCAGTATCTAGGAAAAAGCTTTTCGTAAAAGCGAAACGTGTCACGAATCATGCAGATATTTAACTTTCCTACGTCGCGCGTGCATCTCATAAAATCTTGTCGAATTAACTTTATATTTAGTATGTAATATTGAAATATGGCAAAATATTGAACTGTAATATTGACTATTACATATGTCATATTATAATATGACTTATTTAGACAGTTAGTGAGAAACGACCAGTGAAGATACAAGCATTCGCACATAGAACTTTACAGGAAAATCTCTTTTCCAAATCATTTCTTCATCCCCGAAATAACAAATATAACGAATATAAGTGAATTAATATATATAATGTATCCAATATGTGTATACGATCATAATATCTCAAAATTTAAAAGAAGTTCAAAAAAATCTTCCGTATCTTTTAAATTCTTGCATTATGGTTGTTATGAAAATTGTTTTTGTCTTGTATCAAAGTCTATCGAAACAAACTCCTTTATTGTCTTATGGCAAGGTCTTTAACCATTTCACCGATTAATATTAATCTCTGTTGTAAATCATAAACTTATTTATGATTGTGTACAAGTATCAACTCTGCAATATGCGGATCATTTGACCAAAACGATCGTAAAATAGCGTATTTAATTAACGCAGGAAGAGTCAACCTGCAGTGCCATAGTGTCTTCGTCCAAGTACTTGCTACATAATTAAATACTCGCAAGAGGATCTCTATTAATAATTTAAAAGTTATCAAATAAATTAAAATTATTCAAATTTCCATGACATTCGAACGTTTAAATATGTGTATATGTGCGCGTATTTTTTTCCACCTTTCAAAACCTTTGTGCATTACGTTGCACAAAGTTACGATAGCAAGTGTGCGACAACTGCACAAACACGTCAGTCATTCTAGCGCAATGAGAAAGAAGAGCGACAAGAGTTTGAGAGAGTATAAAGTACCTCGTCGGACTCGTGGGTCTGCAACAGATGAGTCGAGGCCATTAACCCTCTGATCGAGCCGAGCATTCTCCTTTTAATTAGGCCACTTTTCCCACTGTCCCTTGACGTTTCGGCATCACCGCTGAATCCTGCCGTAGGCGTCGGCGTCAGCGTCGGCGTTGGAGTTGTTTGGTTGGTCGCCCTCATTATTTTCGCTTCGCTGTTCTCCACATGCGAACATAGCTTATCCATACTAAAAGATCCCGGTGGCTGTAATCTTATCCTATTGTTTTCCAGAATATCATCCGAACTGGCAGTTTTTCTTCGCAGATTGCCTTGTAATCTCCTCGTGCCGTTTGCCGACACTGGCCTCTCCATATCTTCGGAAATGTTTCTTTCCTCCGATACCGACGACAGACCAAACTCCTCCACTTTGGTGATCGAGCCGGACTCTTGGGCGCAAGCTCGCGTCAGGTCGTAAAAACCACGCTGCTTGCTCTTAGATGTTCGCACAGGGATGGAATTGCTTCGCACCTTGATGCGAAAATTTTCGATAAGAAATCGATCACAGTAATACGAGACAAATTCACATGAGCGGGAAAACTTATTGTTTTTGCACGCATTTTACGTTTCGCAAGAATTATCTATGAATATAATCTATGAATTTTCTTCACTACAAATATTATGATCTAAATTGCAGACATCGAGAAATCAAAAGTCTTAATATTGGAAACTTGGAAATATGATATTATTTAAGCTAAATTTTATGAAGTCGAAACAAATTAAATTTTTAACTAAAAAATATGAAGAAATGTGAAATGAAGAAATTGTGAAGTAGGAGCGAGATAACGCTATAATTTACATAAGATTTACAAACGTTAATTAAAATTGACACAGATTTAAACGACTTGGATAAATGCAAATGATTGATTCTAAATGATCAATCTTACGTCTCTACTATAAAAAGGCCGGGTATTTAATATTATTTCTGAAAATAAAATGGACGGCCAGAATTTTTCCCAAGAATGTTTCTAAATAAGATATTTCTACCTTCAAACGTTTTAATTTTTCTTACTCTCGGTCGACATTAACTAACGTTTATTACGTTTATTAACTAATGTGTGAAAAGTTGTTTTCTCTTTTCTTTCCTCTTTTTTTCCGACACTACCTCAGGAGTGAGCGCGCCGACCGCCTGCAACTTGGCGTGCCTGTGGACCACTTCGCCAATTCTGGTTCTTTCCTCTCGCAACCAGCTGCGCATCCTACTCCAAGCTTTGCCTAATCGCTGCTTTTGCAGTCTCAGCCGCTTGCTGCGATCCGAACCGCCGCTTTCCGACAACGCCGCCTCCTCGTTCGGGCATTCCGGATCCGAGTACGAACCCGACATCGACGCTATGCCGGCATCGTAACCATCGCTATCCGACGCACCATAGCTCCTTCTGCCAGATTTGAGCGATCTAGTGGAACGTTTCGTTCGATCGCGTTGTCGCTTCCCTCTTTCGGGTAAAACAATCACGTTTGCGATCTTGCGATTTTCCTGCTCGAGATTACAATCTGGCGCCCCTTCCTCTCGCGAATCGTTCCAAGACGCATCTTTGCGTGCCGCCTTTGGAACGTCATAAAGATCCGGACGAACCGGAGATTCATCGTTGATCTTCTTAACGCTTTCACGAGCGGCTTGTTCCACGAAGACTCGATTACTCTCGAGGATGGCGCTTTTAGGAAGATCGTACAGCTGATTTCCCGAGGTGTCAGCCTGATCGCTCGTATCGACTTCCAGAATAACGATCTCGTCATCATCGTGAAGATTTTCATCGGCACGCAAAAAGCTGAAGCTGATCGTCGGCACTCCATCAGCGTCCGTCTTCACTGTCGTGGTAGCATTTAATTCCATCGTAGTGCTGTGTCTCTTCCCATCTCGAGTCGTTCTCTCGTCCACGTGAAACTCAGGATTCACTTGAAGCTTGCAGGATCTGATTTCCGCGCGGGTTTGACTTAATCTATTCACGACTACATCCGTCGTGTCCGTATCCGCGTTCGCATTGTTTCGATACGACGACGTCTTGCCGACGCCCGTCTTGTCAGAGGAGGATGAAAGTCTGCTAAAAGCTGACGTATCTTTCTCTAAAGACTCTGAAGACTCCGCGTCCTTGGATGAGCCGACTTTTTCGATATCTCTCTCGGAGGACTTGGTCATCGGCTTTTCCTCGATAAACCTCATTCTCGTCTCGTCCTCACAGAATCTTTTACGTTTTCTCGCCTCGTCGTTCTTGATGACATCACGTTCCGTCTCCTCATGAAACTCACGGCAATGCACGATAACCGGCGTCGGGACGTCGTACCATGTCGCCGTTGCGACACTCGCAACCCCGTTGTTCAAGGTCGAATTCTTCACGGGAGATCGCAGAGCTGTCAAAGCGTGTCTCATCTCATTCATCTCTTACTATTATTTAAACTCTTCTTCTCGGGACTCGTTTCCTTCCAACAATTTGATCTCGTCGCGGATCTTCTCGAATCAATTCTTCGACTCTTCTTCCCGCTGCGAAGAGCGACGATATAAGCGGACGATTAAATCGCCAGATGAACATCCAAGTGAAACGTATCTCGGAGATGCTACCGCATGTATTATATATATATATTATCAATAATAAATAATCGAAACGAAAGAATGTCGTCAGACAAGAAATATTTCTTTCGCTTCCTCTTTCCTTTCGAGTAAAAAAAGCTTTCGAATTATTAATTTTCATTCGCGTCGAGAGAAACGACAGTGATCGGTATACTCTGTCTCTGAATCTGATGAGAGGAATTAATATCGCGACAACTATTCGTTAGCGAATGTCTCAACCTTTCTTCGTACGTCATGTGTGATAATCCAGTGATGATTTCGGATGGCACTTTTATGGCATCTTGTTTTCTGCGTTCCACAAACGCGTTTCCTCATGTATCACACAACTCCTTCAACGTGTAACGTTTTATGCTATATATTTGTCACAAATTATGCAAGAACGCTTTCGTTTATCGCACATTTGTTATCACCGTTGCGATTGTTTTGCATTTCGCAAATTTTACTTATCGTACAAATATCGTAAATATCGTTTGAAACGTTGTCGTGATCTCAAGTTGAACTAATTTTGTTTATATAAAAAATGCTTTTAATTATTGCTGACAACAAGTCTCGAAATTTTCATACCTAGTAAGTCTACCGCGTGTATCAATTGTATTTGATATAATTTTCTATATTTCATATCGCACATGTTGTATCAATGCTTCGCGCGCCAAGATATCTCTTATCATCCTATAAATTTTTGATTCACAGTGAGAATACTAGGCGAAGTCTCAGATTCCACCGGCGAAATAAAGTCCACGGGTTACAATGGGATAGCGTGAAAATGATTTTTGCTCGTTCGCGCGTTCGCGCGTCAATCGTCAGATATCAATGGGGGGGCTTCGTGAAACTTGGTTCCATGATTAGCACGAGGCACGAGGACGGAACTGTAGAACGCGTGACGTGAGAGAAAAAAGCGAGACAAATAAGCAAGAACTGATTTGTCGCGGCAAAGTAACGATGTTTCGCGGCAGCTTCGTGGAATCGACGGCGCTCTCCCGCGGATCCCCAATCACCGACACGACAATGACGAGATAAAGAAAGTAACGTCGAGTAACGTAAATTCACCAGATATGCGTCGAATTTCGTTTCGCTCGTCTCCTCACTTCACTCATATTTCGAGTCATCGACTTGACACGTACATTCTATCGCTCGCGCGACAACGGCGACGTCGCGTCGCGAGCGATAGAATTGGAGAACGCGGTAGCGCAAACGGTGTCACGTTTGTCCGTTCGTCCATTCGTTCGCTCGTGTGTGAATTATAAGCACGCGCGCGTATATGTGCACATACCAACGTTTTATTCGAGCACGATGTCGGGCGCATCGAACACGCCGAGCACATCGAGGACGGAGCAACGGATGGACGCGCGCGCGAGCCTTGACGAATCCAAACACGAACACTGTTCGCACCGTCCTCGTCGCATCGTCGTCAGCTGGTATTACGTATTACGTAATGCGTAATTACGCGGAGACGTATGACGGGCGAGCGTAACGGTGCGAAGTGCACGATGTATTCCGATTTTCTTCGTAAACATAGTTGCTCGAAAATATATAC